CAGGGATTACGTCACACAAAGCGTCGTGCGCAGTGCCCGAATGCCTGTAAATTTAATGGTCCAATTAAGGTAATTTAAAAAATCAGGACATTTCCTCACTTTCTAAAAAAAACCTGGGACGCCCGGGACAGGACGTGAAATACGGATATGTCCCGGGAAATACGGACGTTTGGTCACCTTAAATATGACCAGATGACCAGGTGAAAAGTATCATCTTTACTAGACCACAAGAAGGCAGCATAATTCAGATGATAAACTGTCCCACTGATACAGAGGGTAGGGGAAGTATTCAGACCCCTTTAAATGTTTCACCCTTTGTTTCCTTACAGCCAGGCAAAAATGGTCAGAGTTGTTCCCAAGCCACTCCTGTGTTATTTTAGCTGTGTGCTTAGGGTCATTGTCATGTTGGAAGGTGAACTTTTGGCTCAGTCTGAGGTCCTGAGTTCTCTGGAAGAGGTTTTCTTCCAGGATATTGCTCTACTTGGCAGCATTCATTTTTCCTTCAATTACAACCAGTCATCCAGTCCCTGCAGCTGAAAAACATCCCCATAGCATCCCCATGCTGCCACCACCTTGTTTCACTGTTGGGATTGTATTGGGCAGGTGATGATGCCCAATATAATCCCAACAGATGGTTTTCTCCACACGTACTGCTTAGAATCAACACCAAAAAGTTCAATCTTGGTCTCATCAGACCAGAGAATCTTCTTTCTCATAGTCTGGGAGTCCTTCATGTGTTTTTTTGCAAACTCTATGTGGGCTTTTATGTGTCTTGCACTGAGGTGAGGCTTCCGTCGGGCCACTGACATAAAGGGCTGCAGTGATAGTTGAATTTGTGGAACTTTCTCCCGTCTCCCTACTGAATCTATGGAGCTCAGTCACAGTGATCTTTAGGTTCTTCTTTACCTCTCTCACCAAGGCTCTTCTCCCACTATCGGTCAGTATGGCTGGACGGCCAGATCTAGGAAGAGTTCTGGTTGTTCCAAACTTCTTCCACTTAAGGATTATGGAGGCCACTGTGTTCTAAGGAACCTTGAGTGCTGCAGAAAATTCTTTTGTTACCTTGGCCAGGTCTGTATCTTGCCCCGCTTGTCTCTGAGCTCCTTGGGCAGTTCCTTCGACCTCATGATTCTCGTTTGCTCTGACATGCACTGTTAGCTGTAAGGTCTTATAAAGACAGGTGGGTGGCTTTCAATAATCAAGTCCAATCAGTTTAATTAAATACTGCCGGACTCCAATGAAGGAGCAGAACCATCTCAAGGAGGATCCAAAGAAAAGGATAGTATGAGAGTTAGATATAGCCCCATTTACACTACCCTTTTGAAACCGTGCAGACAGCGGTCCGAGCACAGCAACCAAGATAACTGTTGAGTGTAAATGGAATGCGACTGACTCGGACCGTGCCAGACACAACCGAACTGCGCTAAATCTAGTACTAGTTCAACAGTAGGGCTCGGAACAGTTCAGTTGTGGCTTGGTTCTGTAATAACAAAGAGCGCATGAGCAGACCGCGTCATCTCCTATTTACAGTCAGCTGACTCATTTTGCAGGTTTCCTGCTGTTTCCGGCTTTTTAATTTACAGATTTCTTCACATGTTCACAACATTAACTTCTTCTCAGCCTATTAGCAATAAATGGCATCAAAAGTGCTCTAATACCCAATGAGCTGTGGGATGGGTCTGAGCCAGGAACTCTTGTTTGTCTGACTAATTACTTTTTAAGCTCAGATCACAATTCAGCATTTCTAAGAAATTGCCGAAATGAACAGTTTTACTGCGAATCGTTGCTAAGATGTAATAAATCCAGTATTATTTCTGAAAACACACCTGCTATTCTATGGCTGGAAATGACAGAAATGGCTTCTAGCAAGATATCATGGTTTACACCCCAAATAATGCAGAAAGTATTTCTTTGCATAACACTGGACAAAGTGAGGATGTTTAATTAGAGTGAAGAAGTACGTAGGATGATGCCCTACCTGCCCTTTTGAATCGGTCCATTAGTCTTTGCCTAACGTCTGTCTGCAGGTTGAAGTAGTTGTCGTCTTCATCAGGGTTCTTTAAGTACAGCGGAATATGTTGGAAAACCAGGATGTGTTTTGGTTTTGGCTCCTAAGCAGAAAAGAGAAAGAACAGCATATGTCATAGTTTCACACAGTTAAAAAAAAAAAAAAATCTCACATCGTCATTGATCACTGAAGGTAATGCCGTTTTACCGTCATAGAGGAGGCCCTGCTCAGCTGGGCTTCCAGCCACGTTTCCTGTGCCTCTTTCAGCTGTGGACAGGCCGAGGCATCGAAGAACAACTGGGAGTTAAGAACCAGGCAGAGGACACCACCCACCTTGGAAAGAAGCATGAAGGAAAATATTAAAACGAAGTTAAAATATCTGCTTGGCCAAACAAACAATGCCTCGCAAAAGGACTCTCATCCCTTGACCTGCTTTTACATTCTCTTACAAGACGGCAACAATTCTTAAGGTTCTGGCTGCTGTGCTATAAGCCATGATATGGGGCAGTGTTGGCCTAGTGGGTTAGGGCAGTCTGCTTGTGCCCTGACAAGGTTGCAAGTACCCAGTGAAATCCCCACAGCCAGCACTCTGGGTTCCTTAGCAAGACCCTAAACTCCACACTGCTCCCCGGGCACCGCACAATGGCAGCCCACTGCTCCCCAAGGAGATTGGTTAAATGCAGAGAATGAATATTGCCCATTATTATTATATACATTTTGGACAATGAGAACCAATGTCCATGCTGGTTTGTAACATAATCACTGGGGTAGGGGATGGAAGTTTAGCTGCTGTTGGACTCTGTTGATTATGGTTTTCAGCCATGTTTTTCCTTGTTCTTTGTAAATATTGACTTAGCTTGGTTGAGTTTCACTAGTTTAGTCAAGAGTTTTAACTAAAATATGTTTCACTTGGTGCTGAATATTTTTTTTTTTTACAAACTTTTATATTTTCAATAAAGTTGTGTTGAATTTAATACATCCATGTGCAGAGTTATCTCTTTTACCATGATTTGAGCTTGATTAACAATCATAGTACAACACCAGATCCGTTTCATTGCTACTGACCACTAGAGGGCTGTACTGAAAGCAAGAATTGAGTTAGTAACTGAAGTGTACTTTCCACCATGCAAAAATATGGAAAAGTAATTAAAATCCCCCTGAGACATTTGCTTGTCTGAGATGAAATTCAGCATTTCATCCACTAATTGGCTTTAAGGCCAAAGGAGGACACAAGAACAAGCAGGTGACATGTAACTCAAGGTGCATATGCCCAAAAGACAGTAAAGAGCCCAGCCAATGAGATATGGAAGAACCCTGATTCCACATGGCTTCAGAAAGAAAAGGGTTCCTTTAACACACAAAGGAAAAGCATTGCAAAAGCGCTGTCATACAACCAAGATCACTGTCATGCCACATCGCTAGGAGGTCAATACACTGCAACTCACTACTTTAAGCAGCACCACCAGGCAGTCATCTGGGGTTTGATGAACCCAAGTTACACAAGTTCTTATCTTTAGAGCTGTTAAAGACAAAACCCACAAAGTCTGCAGCCGTAAAAAACATGGTTTACTGTCAAAGTAGATGGCAGTAGCAGCGGCAGTTGTCTCTGGTCCTACACAGCCTCTAATGAGTTTTCTTTTAGAATTTTCCTCCACAGCATCAAGCTGACACATCCAGGTCTCATAGTAGGAATGAGATCGACGGGATAACGATCAGTGGTACTTTTCCTTCTCAAACAACTTTTTTTATGCACTGCCAAACATCGGTAACAAGGGTCAATTTAAGTGTATTTTTCCTCTTTTTTGAGCAGTTAATGCAATTTGCCAGTGGGATATTTACATTTAAAAATAAGAATTAAAACACCATGATTTTATCTTAAGTGCATAATATCTAAGTATCTTATGTTAAGAGTGAAAATATTCATTCCACTGAGAGATCGTTTTATTTACTTGCAAAAAAATGAATGGCAAATACACTTTATAAGACAATGTTAATATTTTTAGATCCGTTTTTGCAGTGTAGCCCAAATGCCTCATCTGCTCAGACCAACTACTTCCACATTTGTCAATTGCAGAGATTCACCCACATTTCAGCCTGTGACCTGCAAATTAACCAGCGACATGCAACCTCCTACTGGTTTACTCTATATGAAAAATAAAGATAAACAGGTGAAACTGTAGATAAGCTGATACATGTAGACATGTTTTCTATGTTGTTTATTTCATTTTATTTGTGCTTACCCAGAAGCTAAAGTAGTCATCACCCCAGGCTGTGCAGTACTGCTCCACTGTGCTGGGAGTCGGGGTATTACCAAGGTCATGGTTCCCGCTGACGAACACAAGCGGGATGGAGGGATCCGCCCCCTTTAAGGCATCCCTCAGGTCTCGCTCCTGATCTTCTCTGAACTGTGTTCCTAGCAGAAGAGGTAGAACGACTTTAATGCTAAAGTCTTCAAGACAGATTAGAGATTAGAGGTCTTGTGACAAAAACTTCATGAAAACAATAAAATATTAATGTTGAACTTTACGATTTTACAAAGAGCAAAAAACATGCCAAACAGAGATCTTTTAATTGTGAGATGTACCTTAACGGCAGGATAAAAAAGGCTGCATATAAAACTGAGCAGTTTATAGTGTAGTGCAACAATCCATTGTATCAGAGTCTTCCAAGTGCGGTACAATGCATGTTGTTTAGCCAAAGATGATGCCCAGGAATACAGTCAGAAGAGATTGTTTCGTCAGTTTGATGATGGACCAAAATAGACAAAAGACATCTTTTCCTGTCACAAAATTAATGATTTTAATAAAATATTAATAATAATTTTGGCATGAAACTACAACACAAAGACATCCACACTACATACTTAACAGTGCATCCAGAAAGTTAGAGTGCTGAACTTTTTGCACTTTAGTTTATGTTACAGCCTTTTTCTACATTTTATAAAATCAATCTTTTTCCACAGAATTAGACACAGATTTGTGTGGATAAAGTGAAGCACAGTCAATAGTTTCTGGATGCACCAAGTGTTCCTTCATACATTACAAGAGATCTCGTAATGGCAAAGCTAAGCAATGTCATTCCACATCGCAGCTTTTCTTTATACGGTTCAGCCCCTAATGCTTTGTGTAGAGATGCACAGATATGAACATTTTGGCTGATATCTGATAATAATATTGCAGTTATCGCCAATATTTATGGATATTATATTGTATATCCATCTTTACTGTCTTGACACCATGGAAAACCAACAACAGTGTAGTAACTGCTTTCTTGCATCAGATAAACAACCACAATCCTATGCTTTATTAGTATCAATTCACCAAATGAATATTTTGGGACTAGTCAAAGTAATTAAGGATTTATTTAGAAAATATAGACGTTTTTTATGTCTATTTTCTGGTCGGTTTATTGTGATCACCATAGATTAAAATGTTTTGTGAAGCCTACTAGTTTCCTACCACCCCTAAGTTCCCACTGGTCCCTGCCTGGCCACTCAGGAAAACTTTCTGGAACTGCCGCTGGTCAAACCCACTTATAAAAACATCACAGGTTTCTGTGAAGAATGACCGTTCATGACAATCTTTAGAGGACTTCTCACCAGAGCAGAATTCAGCATGGATGAAGAAAAAGAGGGAACTTGCTTAACCTATAGACCATTGGAGATGTGTGGATCCTGCAGCCATTCAACAAGACCAAATTGATAGTTGTCCAATGCTGTTAGAAGCTTTAGATTTGATTAGAGTTACAGGCTTTCTCAACAAATTTCAGTTTAAACATTTGTCCACACACCAGTAGAAAAACCCTCTCAGGAAAAACACAAAGGAGTAAAAGCAGGCGGGACAGAATCAGGAGACTGAAAGTGAGCTTAGATTAAAGAAAGTCCTTGAAATGAGACATGTCTCTTGGAGGTTAGCTTACATTTGACAGGAAAAAGAATTGGGATTGAAAAACTTTCTGTTCCATTCAAACAAGATAAGATGGATGGAGGGAAATATTGTCCAAGGCTTTACTTCTGCCTTTAGTCTGACAGGACTTTGTTGTTTTGGGCAGTGTGCTCCTCCAAGTGGACCACATTAATGTGATGCAAATGAGTCCATCAGGGTTTTGCTCCAACTTCTGTACATGAGCCGCTCTGATCTGCACTTCATCAGAAACTCTTTGATAGGAGAGCTAATTCATTAGATAAAGACATCGCTGCTCTGCCCTCAGTCTTCTTTCCTTTAAGTCTAGGTATAAAGGGCTGGTTATACTCCCACAGCAGTGTGTCGTAGTAAGCTTGTCGTAGGTATGATGCAGATATTTTTGATTTATGCCCAATTTTAAAGTGTGGTCTACACTGTTTCTCCATGCCACAACACAAGAGGGACAATCAAGAACAAGCTGTAAGTCCATATATGGCCGAGGCGATGAGGAAGTAGAGTTTGAGTTTTTAACAGCACTAGCGTCTTGTTTTTTGGACAGTAGCCTGATAGAAAAGGGGGTATGAGAGAGGGGGACAGACATGCGGCAAAGGACCCAGGCCGGCTACGTCGAGAACTAAGGCCTCCGTACATGGGTCATGCTCACTAACCACTGCGCCACCTGCACGCCCACAAGGGGCAAGTTTGTGCGACAACGGAGGGCGACAAAGAGTGGGGATCAAGGTGGAAAAAGGGTCCCGGCATTCTCGAACAACTCGCTCTTCTAGCTGGTCCAACTTCACGAGTCGTTTTCCACAATGGCGGTCATACAAACAAAACAAGCCGGTAAGGTACCAAACAGGAAATACGCTAGTGTAGAGCGGATGTAGATTTGACCAATCAGAGGCCACCTGCCTGCGGCACTGTCTGTGGTCAACTGCAACTTTGGAGAGGTGCAGCAGAGTGTCTGCGGAAGGGGCAGGGGCACATTAACGTTCACTGCGACATACACGCAGGCAACCTGGTTTTGTGAGCATAAACCAGCCTTAAAGCTCAGACTTGACATCAGATGACCCACAATTACACAAGCAAACTGAAGCTTTGATGCCTCAATATGAGATTTAAGGAGGCTTCAAAGAGATCAATCAGAGGCGAGCATAAATTAAAGTGTTTGTATAAGCAAACAGACTTGCAAATTAGGGTTGTCAGAGTAAGGTATGAGGCATGTGAACATAGCTGTTGGCTAAGGAGAACGGACAGATAATAGAGAGAAGAGATGGATGGGAAAATACAATGTGAGAGCAATGAAAAGGAGCAACAGGGAGTGAAATCTCTGGGTACGGAAATACACTTGCCAATTTCCTGTCGCCGGCAGGCAGCAGTGGCGACAATGCCAGTTGACAGCCAGCTTCCCCTGGCCGCCACCCATTTATTTTGTATTGTAAATAAACCCTTTAAGGGGAAATGTCAGCCGAGGAGCGGAGGGAGCAGCTCCGGCCGTAATATCTCGCCCCCCTCCTCTCCATCAGTCTGGTTAGCAGCTTCATGATGGACATGGCGGGTAATGAGGATGGCACACACAACCTGCTCCGTGGGGCTGACAGTAACCAGGGCTGACGCCGCACCGTTTAAAGGTCCTCAAGCCTTCGGGTTTAAACCCCACGTTGCCGCACCCCCTGGTGAATTCATCTCGCTCTACCACCTCTAAGGTCGACTGATTGATGCAAAGGAAAACAGAGAGAAAGGGAGGCTGGAAGATGATACCGGACACATTCAGTTGGGTTGAATGGTGCACTGATAACAGATGACAATGATACTTATATGCCTGCAGTTACACATCATGTAAAGAGGAAAGCAACGTTCACTACTGTTACTGTGCAGCCACAAATACTGGTCACTTTGACCCAAAGCAGAGGAAAGCAAGGGAAGCTCTGTGACTAAACCAAGCTGAATCTGTGCTGCATATGAATAACTGGCCTTGAGTCAATGGGAAACAGGGAGCCAAGGACATTACACAGATGACATGCTGCTTTACATAGAAAATATCTTCTAATTATGATTAACATCTCCATCTACCTGCAGGACTGAGGTCAGGGAAACTATAATCACTCTCCTTTCAAATGTGTCGATTACTCAGATGATGAGCAGAGATGAGGCAGGTTTCCCTGTTTCTCTCTTTCTTTAGGCCAATTAGTGAAGCAGGAACCTTGTGTTCAACCCCTAATTGTCATGCAAAGGTAGTTTGCTTTGGTAGGTGGCTCCTAGGTTTTTTTCATGCAACTAAATTTGGACATTTACACCAACACACACATAATGGCAGAATTACTTTCAGTTCAATATTAGAAACAACAATAAAGTGTTTCTAAGCAGCAGCATCAAAAGGTGCATGCTTACATACAATGAGTGAAATCATAAATCATAACATAAATGTCACCACAGGACAGAGTTGTAGCTTACAATAAACTCACAAGACCATGCATCAGCTAGGCTATACATGACTCCAGATATATGCCGTGGGGAACTTTATAAGGGTAGAAGAAGAAACAGGTGATCGGTGTCTTATGGTGAAACTCCTGCACATAGATAAGACCAACAGTCTTAAATGCAGCCGTCAGGTTTAAGGTTCTACATACTATATGCAGCAATATGACTTCTTTAAAATGGAAAGAATTTCTATTCTGGATTTATTAAAACGGATAAGCAAACATTTGGTTTTCTCAAGAGCTTTAAATCCCTTTAAATTTTCAAAGCAGATCGACATTTGTACTTAAAAAGCACCATAAACTCTTGTTGATCGGACAGGTGTTGTGAATGTTTACTACTACAGTGTGTTGAATTCATATTAATGTACATTTAAAGACATTTCAATTAGTGGAAAAAATTGCTGAGGGGAATATAAAAAAAAAAGTCTAGTCAACCAAAACCTTTGTGACCCCCATGCAGTACCTCCGTGGCCCCATTAGGGGTCTCTTACCCCCTGTTAAAGACCTCCGTTTTAGGTCATCTAAGAAAGTCGAGAATGTAACTTTTCATAGCTGGTAATAGCTAAGTTTTTGCGGATTACATATTTCTGCACATAAACATCCTGTTCAGTATTAACACATCACTGTATTTGTTCACCTACACATGTACCGGTACATCAGTAACAAATAAACCAGGGTTCTAAGACTTGAGCTCAAATCTTTTTGTCTGGGGCTCATAATAGCAGCTTAGATTCACTTTACTAGATAAATGACATGATGATGGCAAATAGCGGTCCTTAACAAGACCATAAAGAAAATGATGATTATATATGTGCTATCACATAGTCCCTACGGAAGCTGCTACCACCACGACCCGACCCAGGTTGATGGATGGATGGATGGATGGATGGATGGATGGATGGATGGATGGATGGATGGATGGTTGATGGATGGATGGATGGATGGATGGATGGATGGATGGATGGATGGATGGATGGATGGATGGATGGATGGATGGATGGATGGATGGATGGATGNGGATGGATGGATGGATGGATGGATGGATGGATGGATGGATGGATGGATGGATGGATGGATGGATGGATGGATGGATGGATGGATGCTACACAGTACATAAAGGATTAGGGCCATTATAAATAAAACATAAATTAAAAAGCCACAAAAAAGGTTATTGAATTCTGACTTTAATTCCTCAGAATTCTGAATTTAATCTAAGAATTATTCTCATAGAATCATGACTGCTAGTAATATTCCTACTTTATTGAAGTGATAATCCTGGGCTTTATTAATTTAATTCTGAGCCTAAAGTCAGAAAACAATAGAATTTTTTGTTTTATATTTTTTTTTTCATTGGCCCTAATCCTCTTCCGTATTATTAGATTGCTGAAGCTTGTCCTCTCTTAACCTGTGCTGCTGTCAACAGCACGCTTTTGACTCTTTTCTTTCCTCTTCTCTACCCAAAGACAGCTCATCCTCCTCCTCTCTCTCCTTTTCTACTGACCAACAGGAGCCCGATATCCACTTGGACCCCGTCAGTAACCAGCGCCAGTGGAGGTCACTGTAAAGTTTCACAGTTGACAACCTTCCTGAACCAACTCTGCATTTATCTGGGATTGGAACGGCCCGTAATAAGATCACAATGTGGCCCCTTCAAGGCTGCATTCAATCTCACCTTGCATAAAATACAAAATAAAACGGTCAAAGTCTTTGGCAGAAAATGTTTCACCGAATGAAATGGCAGGAAAACTGATAGTGATGATAAACGTCCCCTGAGTGTTTGATATGTTACAGTGAATGATGACACCCCTACCTGGCATAGCATGGACCAAGTCACCACACAGCACCATGAACCTCGGCCTGGGTCGCAGACGGTTTACAGCCTCCACAGCCTGTTTGGTAAGCTCCACTTCTTCAGTCCACTCATCTCCTCCGTTGTCACAGTCACCTACCCTCCAGGACTTCATCAGCCCTAGCTGGGGGTCTGCGGCTTGGATGAAGCAGAAAGGTCCGGTCCAGTTCCGCTCTGCATCTGGAGAAAAGATAAACTGGATCACAATGCAGCAGTAGGATCAGTTCCTTCTGAGATCAACACATGAACTGTCTCTGTTTCCTCTCTGTTCTTCTCTAAACAACAGCAGATTCTAGTTGTACTTTTCTACCATCTCAGAAAAATACAACTATAATGGACAAATAAAATCTCAGGGGATTAGATGGACTAAAACATACAGCAGGTATCTTATGTTCATAAGAACACAAATGCTGATTGTTTTTCCATGTCAGTAAACGGAGACTCATCACAGCTTAGTGCTGATAGAAACAACATGTTACATGGAGAGACTAAAATACTAAAGCCCTGAAAAATTATATGTTAATGAATTCTGCTTGTTGCCTTAAAATAGACAGATGTTAAGAGCAGGTGTGAACCACAGCTTTCCGCTCTACACCATCACTGTGGGGAGAGTTGCATTTAACGCTCACACTAAGAGTCCAGTAGCTGTTCCTATGTGCCAAATATCCGTCCCAGATGAGTTTATGATGTTTCTGAGACAAAAAGCCCTTTTGGAAGAACAAAGAGCTTATTACTGATCCTTTCCATTTATTCCGCATTTCCTATTCCCTTTCTTATAGAGTTAATGTCTCCATATTACAATTTTCTTTGTGAGAGCAGACAGCAAAGGAACGTAGGTGGAGTGGCCACCTTGTTAAACATTACCGGGGGTTTAAAAAGGTAGATGTGAGCAAATTTGACTCTCCAGATAAAGAGCCCAGTCAAAATCATATTGTTGAGTATTTACAGGCTTCAAAACAGCTTATTTTTTGTAGTGTTGCACCGATACAAGTACGGTATGGGCAGGGCCCATACCGTACTTGTATCGGTGCAACACTACTGTTAAAGACCTGTTAAGACCTGTTAAACATGTCTTTAACAGGGGGTACGCGACCCATAGGGGGTCCACGGAGGTACTGCATGGGGGTCACAAAAGTTTTGGTTGATTAGACTTTTTTCTTTTTTATACCCCAAAATAGGGTGCCAATACCATTTTGAAAGCCAAAAGTTTATTCAACTATTGTCACCCATTCCAGGTAGGCAATAAAAAGTTCTACTGGATTCACTTTGTATTAGTCTTTTCCCTGCTTCACAGAGGTAAGCAGCAGCTTGACAAAGTAGTATGTAGTAAGTAGTATGCAGTTCTTCATATATACACACACACACAATTTCAAACACATGGTATTGGTATGGTATCGGCCAATACTGCACAGCCAGGTATCATATCGGTATCAGGGCCCAAAAATGTTATTGGCGCAACACTTATTTTTAGTGGAAGGCTTTATCATTGACAATCCTGAAGGAAGAAGAACGATAAAATGATGTCCTGTACCTTTTAGAAGCATCTCTTTATTAACTGCTACCTGCGTCCTCACTAAAACTAAGAAGTAGAGCACATCTCCCCAGTTCTGAAGCCCTTACACTGGCACCCTGTATTTAAAATACTTCTGTTAGTCTATGAATCCCTGAATGGCTTAGCTCAAGAATATATTATAGGCTTGTTTTCAGAGCATCTACCTGTCAGATCGTCCTCCTCAAGGCTACTCTGTATACCCAGAACCAAACATTAAGAAGCAGGTTTAACTTCTAATGTCCAATAATCTGAAATAAACAACTAGAACATTGTAGCTTTATTTGTGTTTTCTCTATTCCACTGCAATGGATTTCTATAAACTTTCGTTGCCTTAAAAAATCTTGTAATCTTCAGAATACAGTTTGATGAACATGTGATTGTTTAATAAACGATCACTGTTTAAAGTATTAAACCAAAGAAAGAAATATAACAGAATTTTATATATAAATGATGTGGGGGGTATCTGTATGCAAGAAGCACTTAATTTATCGGTCAACACTGTTACAGACAAGCTGATTGGTCTGCAGCTGAGAAGCAGCTAAACTTTATGGTTCACAAACTTTTTTTGATGAGCTCCAATCCATCCCCCCTCCAACAAATCCTTTTAACAGTTGAACAAGGAAAAGTAATTTGCTGTAAACCCTTTAGCTAGAAAATAAAGGAATTTTATAAATAATTTCTGTTTAAATTTAACTGTGACAGAGGCCATTGGGGGCCAGAGCCCCTGTTTATTTCTTAAACCATATGAGTATAATTATTTCTTATGCGTATTGTGTGCAGACACAGATACTGCCCATATATCGTCTAACTGATCTATTTAATTTTTTACCTTTTACAATTTTGTTTAAACAATTAATTAAAAATGTAGGCGTTGCACTTTTAGCTTTAGTTGTGTTCAGACAGGATCACAGTTTTAGGGGTGAAATCCAATCTTTAATAAGCCATGCAGATTATGATTTTGTCCAATATCTATTCTTTATAATAGTTTTAATAGCTTCACAATAAATGTTTCAATCTTGTTTTATCTGAATATAAGGAGCAGGTTTCAACCCATTATGTCTCGTTTTCAACCCACCCTTTGACTTCCATTGTGAAACTGGATTCACATGAATGTGTCATTTTAAACACTGAACACTAACGCTGTAACTATACAGTCATATTTTTACATCCCTGTTTTTTCATCACAATGTTTTTGTTTTTTGTTTTTTTATCACTGCTGCTTACCTTATCAAGGCTGGACTTTAAAACATGAAATAGTCTAAAGAGCTGAGACAAAATAAAATCTGTCTAAGTCTAAAACTGTAAACATGTGTTGATCTCTATCACAGTTTATAAATCAATGCCAGAGATAAATCGAAATTGCTGAACATATCCAATGTAAACAGCAACATATCAGAAACGTTAAGAGGAAGGCAACGTTAAAATGTACAATGACAGAAAAATACCATAATAGGCTGTGATAAAAGCAGCCAGAGTAGTTAGTGCATTTCGCCCGAGCTAAAGGAGCTAGCGACAGGCAGATACCTTCAGTCAGTCCGCTAAAGGTCCGATGTTTGGCTCGGAGGAATAAATCTTCCTTCTCTGCCATGCCCTTTGGTTTTTCGAGAAAGTTAGCCAGTTACTCCCTGACCTGAAGTTCTTGTGACGGTTGTTATTTATTTACATATTATTCTGTTCGCGCATGCGCAGGGCGGATCCGGCTTCCTTGTCGTTACATACGTAGTAGACGCCTTATTGGACGTAGTCGGCAGCGAGGCTATGGCGAGGCCCATAGATATCCATAATAATATCTATGGCGAGGCCGACATGCCTAGAAGGCAGCCATCTTGGATCGGACCACGGTTCAGACAGCTACTGTCAGAATGAATAGGAGGCAGCTCAGATCGTCATTTTAATTACATGAAAGATAATAATACAATAATCTCTAACATTGCACAACCCCTTGAAAGACCAAAGCAAATTTTAAAATTGCATTTCAGTTAGATTACACATATTTATTTAGATTAAAAACTATTTAAACTGAACTCAAACTGGATGAGATATATGTAAAGTTATATTTTTCACTTATATAAAAAAACACAAGGATTTATATTATTATGTTATAAGATTATATTTGACAAATATAATATATTTATATAGTATATTATTATTCTTCAGTGTTTTTAAGGATTTCTCTTTGATAATAAGCATTATGATCTATAAATGAAAATTTGTTGTAATGTGATTTACAAAAGAGAGTAAAGTTTTTATTTTGTTTTTTTATTTAATTTTATATTTTCAAATTCTATAATTTTTCCAGACTGACAAACTGGTGATGGCTAACCAACCAGACATTGTGTTGATCGACAAACAACAGAAGAAGGCAGTAGTGATAGATGTGGCAATCCCAAGCGACTGCAACATCAAGAAGAAAGAACACGAGAAGCTTGAGAAATACCAAGGGCTGAAAGAGGAGCTAGAAAAGATGTGGAAAGTAAGAGCAGCAGTGGTGCCAGTGGTAATTGGAGCACTGGGGGCTGTGACCCCCAAACTGGGAGAATGGCTACAGCAGATTCCAGGTAAAACATCAGAGGTCTCTGTCCAGAAGAGCGCAGTCCTAGGAACAGCTAAGATACTGTGCAGAACCCTCAAACTCCCAGGCCTCTGGGAGGACCCGAGCTTGAGGAAGACATACCACCCCACAAGGGGTGAGAAAATAAGCGTTATCTTGAGTAGTTAAAACATGTCTTTTGTTGTCTCATAGGAATTTTTCCTTATATGCAGATAAAAGAAGATGGAAACATTCAAGATTTATTGTAACCCTAATAAAAACTATTATAAAGAATAGGTATTGGTCAAAATCATAATCTGTCTGAACACAACTGAAGTTTAAAGTACAACACCTGGATTTTTAATTAATTGTCGAAATAAAATTGTAAAATTGAAAAAATTAAATAGATCTGTGAATAAAATAAGGGCAGTATTTGTGTCTGCACACAATAATCACAATAAATAATTATACTTATTTGGTTTAAGGAATAAACAGGCGCTCCTGCCCCCCCTGGCCTCTGTCAAGAACCCCCCCATTAATGGGTAAAACACTCAAACATTTTTCTTTTCATCTAATAATATTAAAAATGTGATTTTGTTGTTGGGTAAAATCATGTTTAATGTGAGGAATTATTTAATATGAAGTCATTTATTTGTTATTTGCAATTATAAATAATTGAAAGTGTAACTGACAGAGGCACAGTTAAATTTAAAGAAAAATAATTTATTAAATTCCCTTATTTTCTAGTTAAAGGGTTTACAACAAATTACTTTTCCTAGTTCAACCATCAAAGGATTTGTTGGAGGGGGAAAGAACTGTCTTTTCAATCAAGCCAGCTTTTTAGCAGCTGGCTTGTGACCAAATACTGGTTCTGTGTCAACAAGAAATCCTCCATTGGGAGATGTTTTCCCACAAAGTGGAGTTTATGGCGCTTTCACCCCTGTTGCTCCTTTTCATTGCTCTCACATTGTATTTTCCCATCCATCTCTTCTCTCCATTATCTGTCCGTTCTCCTTAGCCAACAGCTGCGGTCACATGCCTCATACCTTACACTGTCAACCCTAATTTGCTAGTCTGTCTGCCTATACAAACACTTTAATTTATGCTCACCTCTGATCTCTTTGAAGCCTCCTTAAATCTCATATGAAGGCAACAAAGCTTCAGTTTGCTTGTGTAATTGTGGTTCATCTGGTGTCGGGTCTGAGCTTTATACCTAGACTTAAAGGAAAGAAGATTGAGGGCCGAGCAGCGATGTCTTCATCTAATGAATTAGCTCTCCTATCAAAGGGTTTCTGATGAAGTGCAGATCAGAGCGGCTCATGTACAGAAGTTGGAGCAGAACCCTGATGGACTCATTAATTTGGTCCACTTGGAAGATCCCACTGGCCAAAATGACAGAGTCCTGTTAGACTAAAGGCAGAAGTAAAGTCTTGGACAATATTTCCTTCGAACCCATCTTTTTTCAGTTTGACCATAAACTGTTTCTTGTCCAATTTTAACTTTTTATAGTTTTTTTTTTATTGTTTTCATTATGTTTTTATCACGTCACCTCTAATCTCTAATCTGTCTAGAAGAATTTAGCATTAAAGTCATTCTACCTCTTCTGCCAGGAAGAGAAGATCAAAAGCGAGACCTGAAGGATGCCTTAAAGGGTGCAGATCCCTTCATTCTGCCTGTGTTCGTCAGCAGGAACCATGACCTTGGCAATACCCCAACAGTGGAACAATACTGCACAGACTGGGGGGATGACTACTTCAGCTTCTGAGTAAGCACAAATAAAATGAAATATACAACATAGAAAACATGTCTACATGTATCAGCTTATCTACAGTTTCATCTGTTTATCTATATTTTTCATAAAGAGTAAACCAGTAGGGGGTTACCTGTCCCTGGTTAATTTGCAGGTCACAAGCTGAAATGTGTGTGAATCTCTGCAATACACAAATGTGGAAGAAGACGTTCTGAGCAGATGAGGCATTTGAGCCACACTGCAAAAATGGATCTTAAAATAATAACATTGTCTTATAAAGTGTATTTCCCATTCACTTTTGCAAGTAAATAAAAATTATCTAGATCAATTTAAAGTTGCAGATTTGAATCAGAATTTTTTGAACCTGCTTAATGAAACGGATCCTAGAAGTCTGATGGAAAAAGCTTGACGTCTGCAGAAATCTTTTCATTCATGTCTTGGGAAAATCCACAGAATTTATATAAGAAATTTTTAAAAATTTGTGTCTTTTTTCTTTAATCCCCTCGTCCATGGCTCTAAGGTGTGAAGGCGGTCTTCACAGGCCATTATCACCAGAAGCAGGCGGCTGCCATGACGGCCTGGACATGGTGGTGACCTCAGCAATCGGCTGCCAGCTCGGTAAAGACACCCACAGTGTCAGGGTGGTGGTGGTAACTGCAGACACCATGGTCCACCGTTACTACAGCCTGGAACAGCTGGGAGCCCGGGGCATGGACCAGGACCTCAGGGAACTACTGCAGGCCTAAGAATATTGGAAGATACTTTATCAAACAGATGTAAGATGATTTGGTTCATAATTTCTGAGCTTGTCCTTCTAAACATTTCCTCATATTTATGCTGTATTTACATTAGAAAAAGATCATTTAAAATACTTTAAATATGCAGAACCTCTATAATATATTGTGACAGTTTTGGTCTCTTTTGGCCTCTTTAAACTGGTAAGGACAAAAAACACAGAATTTAGGTTAGGTTGGTCTGTGTCTCATTCCTCATGTTTAGTATGGGCGTATAATAGGCGTTCCCTGTCGGGAGCGGGTACAGGGTTGTGCATGTTTTCTTTAAAAGTGGGGAGGACGGGTCTTTTCAAAAATGAATGAGTCTACTCAATTACATCCTCTTACAGACTCTCACATTCATTACAACTAACTGAAAAAGGGGGGAAAGTTGTCATGGCAACCCTTTAGTAACACATCTGTGTGTTTGAGCGATGGAGGGGAGGTGATGGTTCCCTCTGTCTGGGTGCGTCCGTCTATGGTCCGGTCCAGCGGTGTAGGTGATTCTCCATCAGAGGAGCGGTCGCTGACCTCATTTCACACTGAAGGATTCTGGTTTTCAAAATCCTCGGGCAGATAATGAGTGTGATGTGTGAAAGACAACTCAGTCCAGCTCCTTCATTTCCTGTCTGAGAAGAAGCCTGATGTCCTTTTCTATTTTTATATCCTAATGGTGGCAGAGCTCAGTCTCATCGGTCTGGATCTTTTCTGGAGGAACCGTTTTCAGAAGAAAAGTTCTGCCTGAATTTAGGGGAAGTGTTTCTCTGTGCATTATATGTTGCTCACTAATTAATCACCAAACTCACTGTGACCTTTGAATATATTTTTATAATAAATGTGTATTTTTAACTACATCGTGTTCCTGGCATTCTTTCTGAGGTGTTCCTAAGCCAAAACAAATGTATATTTATAAACAGAGATCCAACAACAGGAACTTTAAAAAGAAATAAATGTTAAAAACACAAATTTAATTCTTCAGCCCTATTAGACAAACAGTTAATCTGACTCTTGGGTCAAAAAGATGCAGTTTACAAAGAGGTTTTAATCCTGATTTAAAGGAACCAACAGATTCTGATCAGCTTGATCCAGAGCTTAGAATTATTAATGAAGACCTGTAAATTCTATTTGTTAATCACTTATAATATACTGGAATTTGCTGATATAAGATTTGAATATATTTACATCTCTAAATGAAATTTTTAAATCATAAATATCTTCCCAACACACATTAAAAAAGATAATAAAGAAAAAACAAAACGGGATTTAAAAAATGTACAACTCCTCTTTATTCAATTTAAAATATCCCATTAGAAAATGCTTTTCAAATTGCAGGATTTAAATGTAAAATGGCTGTTTTTCTTTTTCAGTGACTCTCTAGGTCGTCCGTAGTTAGATGATCTTTAAGGTATGTTGGGATGAGTAGACACATATTTGCATGTTTCTGTTTTGTTCCCTGATAAAAGTAATTATTTATTCCAAAATGATTTAACACTGGAAATTTAAGTTTTTCTGAAATAGTATCTACTGTTTGTTCACAAGATGGAGTTGTTTAATCGTGAAGGCCAAATCCACCAGCATTGTTTAGTTGTTTACAGTTAAACATACAG